AAAAAACAGCAGTTATACAATAAGTGTAGATAAAATATTTAACACATTTTGCAAAATTACCCATGCATTTACTTGAATGAATGAGGCATTTATATGTACACTTGGACTGTAACATTTAATAAAGAAAGGTTAAAACATTACAAATTTAAAAGGTGTTTTGAAAAGCACATTGGTAAATGGCAAAGTTTTTGAATTAAACATTTTGTACTTGGTCATTGCCATCGTAAGAATCACTGCAACTAGCTTATTTAGTTAAATTTAATCTCATTTATGAGATTATTTTAAAATAACGTTCTTCTACAGAATTAGTAATAGTACAAACAGGTCCTCTTCACTCTAACATCTTTGAACATCCTTGAAGTAATTACATTCATAAAAATAAGAATGTGGAAACTAAAACTACAAACCTTTCTCTTTGTATGCGCTGGACCGTCATCCTCCTCCTCTTCTTCATCTGTTTGTTTGCGGATCGGAGTGTTGTTTGTCAAAGTTTAGTGCGGCGTAAACATTCTAGACTCGCATAACTGTACTTGGATCAAAGATCAAAAACATCTCGTTGATTTAGTAGCTTTAGGTGGAGCATAACGAAAGTTTTCTGGTAAATCAGCAAAAAACATTTATTTCATAATGAGATTTCCCCCCATTTTCAATTGTTTTAGTTCAATGAAAGGATAGATATTTGTGAATTTTTTTAAAATAAAAGATCAAAATGATTAACAATGCAGATTTATTTTCACAGCCTTCTTTGATCAGTTACCAAGGGTGCCAATAATTCTGACCACGACTGTTTATAAATATAATAATATATTATATATAATAATTATGCTTTATGCTTTTAGGTTTAGGTTCTATAATAACCCTGCTACTACAACATTCTTGCATGATTTGGTGGGTTCGGATCTTCAGTTGTTTATGGGTCATAGTTTTGTGTGAATAGTGACTGTTTCTATTCGATCCTGTTTCACAGGGTGGCCGCGGGTCCTTAAAAAGTCTTAAAATGTCTTAAATAAAGTTTTCCTAGAATAAGGCCTTAAAAAGTCTTAAAATGTCTTAAATTCAGATTCAGTAGGTCTTAAATATTTTTGGTCACATTACCACAAAATTTCTCCAGTCTGACGGACCCAGTGAGTGTTCATCAAGAGTACTTCATTATGTGTGTACATTGTTAACATTTCAGCTATTTCCTGATAACGTTCCTGGTAAAACCAGTTCATGGTACCAGGAGGAGGAACAACTGCTGTAGAAATTCTTGAAACTGTGTTATTTGACTGGACATGCATTTATGGAAGTCAAAGGTTAACCATGTAACCCCTTGTAGCTTCACGAGTCTTGACAACAGCTTTTCCTCAAATTACCCTCTGAGCTGATTATCCTACAGGTTCACAGACACTATTCATCAAAGGCAATTAAATCACTGCATTCAGAAAGAATGGAAAAGAATGGATGCACTTTATTTAGCTTTTTGTTCTACTTTAATATTAATAGCGTTCAAAACTTTGGGGTCAGTAAGATTAAGGTCTGATCATGTGACACTGAAGAGTAATGGGCTGCTGAACATTCAGCTGTACCATCGCAGAAATAAATTACATTTTAAAATTATGAAAAGATAAAACAGTTGTTTTAAACTGTAATAATATTTTACAATATTACTGTATTTTTTTATTTATTATTAAATGCAGCCTTGGTGAGCAAGACTTCTTTCAAAAACATAAAAAAATGTTACTGACCCAAAACTTTTAAGTGGTAGTGTATTTTAAATTAATGTGAAACTACAGATGCTGTACCACTGCACTTCCTCTCGAAAGGAATAATGAATGCAGATATATGGTCTCTCATCTGTGGAGAGGGACATCAATGCTGGTTGTTAATGTAGCGGTTGATCCAGTTTAGACAGTGAGGCCGATGTTACCATGGCACCCTGTCCCCAGAACATGTCTTTGTGTGTGAAAGATAAAACATTAGCGCAGCGCTCGAGCTGACCTGTGTCTTTTAGCCTACGTCAGAGTTATTTAAAAATAAGCAGCTTATTATTCCTAAGCTTTTAGTTCCATTTGTGTTCCAGCAGTGCCACTAAGGCAGTACTGCTCATCTTTTGTGACTAGGCTTGTTTGTACTATTAACGTCATAAATGAAAAAAAAAATCAAATTTTTCTTTTGGATTCAATTCTGTTTATCCATCTAAGCGAACACGAGGTTGTCACAGCTCCCTGTGTAATCCTGCTGTTTACTTATATTCCCACAACAGTGGCCCAATGAGAGCGTACATCCTAGCCAGGGAAGATGCTATCACTCACTGGAGGGGGATGATGGGTCCAACAAAAGTGTTTAGAGCTCGCTTCACTTCATCAGACACCCTGCGTGGCCAATATGGGCTGACTGACACCAGAAACACTACTCATGGTTCAGGTGGAGTAACACTTTTCAAAACCGAACAGTTAAAGAAATAGTTCAGCCTAAAATTAAAATTTGCTAAAACTGTACTCATCCTCAGGCCATCCAAGATGTAGATCAGTTTGTTTCTTCATCACAACAGATTTGGAGAAATTGAGCATTAGTTCACTTGCTCACCAATAGATCCTCTGCAGTGAATGGGTGCCGTCAGAATGAGAGTCCAAACAGCTGATAAAAACATCACAGTAATCCACAAGCACTCCACATGACTCCAGTTCATCAATTAACATCTTGTGAAGTAAAAAGCTACATGTTTGTAAAAAACAAATCCATCATTAAGGCGTTTTAACTTTAAACACTTGCTTCTGGACAAAATGCAAGTTCTCTAACCATAATAACACTTCCTCCAGTACGGAAGCAACAGTTTAAAGTTCAAAACATCTTAATGATAGATTTGTTTCTTACAAACATGCAGCTTCTCACTTCTTGAGATGTTAATTGATGTACTTGTGTTGATTACTTGTGATGTTTTTATCAGCTGTTTGGACTCTCATTCTGACGGCACCCATTCACTGCAGAGGATCCATTGATGAGCAAGTGAAGTAACGCTATGTTTATCCAAATCTGTTCTGATGAAGAAACAAACTCATCTACATCTTGGATGGCCTGAGGATGAGTACTCTTTCAGCAAATTTTCATATTTGGGTCAACTGTTCCTTTAACTAGCTAAATAGACTAGATCAACTAAATATCAAAACGGTTAAAGGCAGAGTAAGTGATTTCTGGTAGCCAATGTTGATATTTGAAATCACCAAAACAAACACGGCCCTACCCCAAAAGGGTCTTGCCCCTATTTTGATAGCTCCGCCCCACATGTACATACGCAACCCAGGCAACGATTGGTTCTGTGAAACAAAGCAAAACCAATGTTACACTGTGTCTACGGACGTGAGCGGCGCGGTGCAACAAATCCCCGACAGAAAACTGCTGCCGGGTTCTATTTATGACGTGCTGACACAAATTTCAAATGGTTTTCAACGGTCGTTTGATCGCGTCCGGTGTAGGCAGACTTTAGCTGTTGTAGACACGGTGTTACTCACCTACTGAGAAGAAACATAGCAACCTCGGCGTCCGATCGCAGGCCTCCGCTCCTTGAGTTCTCTCCAGCGCTGGAAAGCTGATCCGATATTTACACGGGTCCTACTTCTTGCCTTATCGTTCCGCAGACGTTTTCCTCTTTTGTTTTTTTATCCGCCATCTCTATCTTTCTGTCGCTCGGCTCGGCTAATGTCCGTCCCATGCACTGAACGCGCTCTCCTCCACATCACGAGTAGACACGCCCCTTACTGCTGATTGGCTACAAGTTTGTTTTGCGATTCGGCCCGAATCAGTTTTCTAAAGTGTTTTTGAAAAATCACATACCCTGCCTTTAATAACCTCTCTAGAAAATGCCTAATGAGTGTTTGTTTTTAAACTCTACATAAATCCTAGACCATAACACTGATTTAATGAAATAAAGACTAATTTCTTAACTATTTTAAATGGGAAAAAAAATTCTTCTATTCTAAAGTTTCAGCATTTTCAAATTTTCTTTCTTTCAGATTCGGATGAATCTGCCAAGAGAGAGATTTCATTTTTCTTTCCAGAATTCAATGCAGATGAGTGGATGTTGAGGAAAGAACCATGTTTTAGATTGGGACTTGCTGAATATAATGAGGAGAGACAAATTCATACTCTCCAGGACACATGATGATCACTGGTCTGATGGTGCTTTTACAGTGCTACAGTACATGAATGTGACTTTCACCAGATGTTTCAGCATTTGATGTTTTCTCTGCATTGCCATGTTACTCTTTTGTGACCACAAAATATCTCTACCACAGCTCAGCCAACACGATTATATTCATTTGTATGTATTTTATTTGTATGTATAAATGAATATTTGTTCTAGATTTGTAGTAGAGGTCAATAAATGTCAATAAAAATCAACCTGTTTAATGCCGATTTTAAGGGATTTGAAAATATTACTTTAAATAAAATAGATTTAAATTCTAATAAACTATGCAGAGTACACCTAATGTTATTTACAAATTAATCATAAAATATAAAAAAACAACACGCATTAGTATATATAGAAATTAACATGAACCTATATTAATAATACTGTAAATGTATTTGTTCATTGTTACTTCATAATACCTAACGAATGAATGTTCATATACAGAACCTTATTGTAAAATGTTAATTCAGAGAGTGAAGCAAGAGAAAGATTAGGATACAGTAATAGTTATTATGTGCTTCCAATAGAGATTTAATAACTCAACAATAAATATCATCTTCCAGTGAGTAAAGCAGTGATATATCAAACAATACTGGAATAACAAAACAGAGCTGCTTTATATTCTTGCACACTACCTTTCGCAGTAGTGCTAGCTTGCTACAGAAACTGTAATTAGGTTTTGAATAAATGTTTGCGCTTATACCCTAAAAACCTGAAGGCAACAATAGTGTGGTGGTAGTAAGAGCCCTGATTTTCGAATCCAAAATCAAAATTAAAGCTTCAACTTCAAGCCACCTTTTTTTCTGGGACAAACATGTGTTGTTGGTATGTTTTAAACTATTTAAGTATAATTTTTACACTTTTCACAAAATCAATCAGCCAGTTGTTAAGTGCTCATCTGTCGATTGCCCTTCCTGATCTATCCTGTGCTTTCAGTGTATGTACAGTAGATCCTTTTACTAAGATTCTTTTCGTAGGCATCAAAACAAAACAAAAAAACATTTTGACAAAGACATTACAGAGAAAAGGTGTACATAAAAATAGATATTAACCCGTTAATCACAGCACTGATGAACTTCTTCATTTAGGTCATCCCTGCTTTTTACTTCTTTGGTCCATGACATCTTCACCAAAGCTTTCCAGAAATCCAAGATACAGTCTTTATGAGGTCTTGGGTGAAGTCATTGAGTCAACTGCTGCGTCCATCAAACCATCCACCGGTTTCATGACCTCATAGGTGATTTGTGAAGTTTCCTTGATCTTTCCGCTCTTGTCCACCTGCCGGATGCTTTGAGTCACAGTGATGGTCACTTGCTTGGTGGACATCCGGCTGTCCTGCCATTTGGTCTAATGAAGATAACATTGAAAGATTTTAAGACATGAATTTGTTACCAAATGTTTTCAACGTTTTATTACAGTTTACAGTTTTGATTAGTAAGATTTCTGGAAATCTATCACATTTCTCAGATGAATGAACAAAAGGTTATATAAATAGTGAGTGCGTTTATTATTAACAAAACCTAAAACCATAGAAAAACACTTCTTACTTGAAATACAATTTACATTTCTGGAAAAAAAAAAAGAGAAAAAACTTGTATTTCAGCTAGTTTTCAAGGCAAATGTTTTCACATTTTAATTTAGTTTTAATTTGTACTAAAATAACAAACTAAAGCTGAAATAAAAACAATAAAAATTACAATGACAAAAACAGACAACAAAAAAACAAGACTGGTCTGTTTTTCATGTCCAACATCAATATACTTTTATAGTTTAAAAGTGCATAAATGTATTACAGCCCACTTTAATAAAATGAACAATAATGCTAAATGATATTTTGTAAAATAAGTCAAAAGAAACACATTTCTGGTGTGGTGTAGATGAAGCAATACATAAGACAAAGGTCAGAAACACTGATGTAGTTTACACATGCTGCGTGCATAAGACTAAGCCAAATAAAAACCATTATGTTCAATTAAAATGCTTACTATTTCCTCAGTTCGTAACATGCTTCTCCTCTGCACTGTGCTACCAGAAGAAGACAGCACTTCCTGTTCTTGAGAAGAGAGGATTGCAGGGGTGCTGCCAGTTTTCATGTCATTCAGACCCACCTCAGACATGGCAGAACACACTTTCAGATATGCCTGAGCTGGAGAAGGCAGACCATCATCAAAGAGATCTGTGGCCAGACAAAAATATGGAAGTTATGCATTCTCTTTAACAAAATCACTGCATTGGTGACCATATCAGAAATATTTCAGGTATGCGTGTAGGTACAAAATAAATTTAAATGAATAATCAAATTCATATCTATCTATCTATCTATCTATCTGTAGATAGTATTCCTTTAATTATTATATTATACTGTATATGAACTTAAATAAATTTAAAATATTTAAAAATTATATATTAAATAATGAAAATATACATACATTAATATATGCATGATTTATAAATTATACACTATTAGTCAAAAGTTTTGAAAGATCTCTCATGCTCACTAAGGCCAATTTGTTAAAAAATAAAATAAAACGGTAATACTGTGAAATACAATCCTATATTTACTATTGCATACTATATTTATAATATATATATATAAAAATATATAAAATATATATAAAAAGGCGTTTTTTTCAGTGATGGCAAAACTGAAGTTTCTTGAGAGCACATCAGCATATTAGAATGATTTCTTGAGTATCACGTGACACTAAAGACTGGAGTAATGATGCTGAAAATTCAGCTTTAATATCAAATGAATAAATGACATTTTAAAATATATTAAAATAAAAAGCAGTTATTTTAAATTGGAATACTATTTTACATGGTTACTATTTTACTGTATGTTTTCATCAAATAAATGCAGCCTTGGCAAGCATATAAGAAAAAAACATTTACATAATAAAAAAACCCCCATAATTATTTCAAACTTTTGACCAGTAGTGTATATGTATATATACTGACACCAGGGCTAAAAATCCTGAAACACAACAAGAAAAAAAAAAAGTCTCAAGTAGTCATAGTCAAGTCCATCTTGTCTATCTGTTTTAATAATCTGCTACCAGTTTATTTTGATATGATCATTTACCCACTGTAGCTGCCCTAAGTGTCACAATTCTGCCCAAAAGTGGTAAGCAGTGCTTATTGTGTTCATCCTTGCTCATATTGGTGTACTGAAGTACTAAAGGGATTTAACCATCACCATGGCAACAAGAGGCCTACTTGAATGAATTGCTCACCAACAGCAGACTTGCAACACTTTCGCTGTCCTTCTGGGAAGGAAATATCATTTGAAGAGTTTGACAGGTTAAATTTGAGGGACTACGGTGAAATGATATGTTCAGCTAATTAAATATGAAGACATTAAATTCAAAAGCTTTTAACAATGAGAATAAAGCCTTGAAATAATTATGATCTCAGTCAGTTCTAGGGCTGTGGTTGCATGAAGTGTAAAACGAGAAGGGCATAACCTTACGAAAAAATAAAACACGGAAAAATCGCGGTTGCTGCGGTTCTTGCATTCCTCTGCGGTTTGCTCGTCAATAGCGCGGTATTGCGATATTGCGGTTATCGCGACAGCCCTAGTCAGTTCTCACCAAGGTTGGCAGTCTTCTCTGATGGGAAGCCCACCTCTGAAGAGTTTTCCGAGGGGATGCTCTGGATGGAGGACAGGGGTATGTCTGTGTCCGTGCTGGTCAGCCAGGTGGACTCTGTCTCTTTAGTCCAGCTCTCCATATATCTCGGCTCCAACACATCTGTCCTGGATCCTCCACAACCCATGATGTCAAAAACAAATCCACACCTACACAGCCTTGGATTCTAGGTCCATTACAACACCTCCCGAACAGCAAATGAAAGGTAGATGTTTGTTATATGGTGTTCACTGAGTGATGTCATTTATTATTTATGTTATGTCATTTAGTATGAACAACCCATATCAGCATCATTTTGATGTAAAAATCGAGTCTTCCACTTGTCAGGTGTCAGTCGAACAGGAAGATCTGGGGCTGATTCTGTGGAAGAGAAATAACAGTCAGCCTATAATGCAAGACTTAAGTGTGATTTAAAATAATAATTTGACGTTAACGTATTGGAAGGAATTAAGACTGAACATTTGATTAGTCTAGGTATAAGCTCTTACAATTACGCATTACACGTCAAACAACCTTAATAAGTGATATCTTAATGACAAATAAGATGGATTGACCCGTTTCCAATTTCTCTTGAGTAGGTCAGCACTCGTAATATGTAAACAAAGACGAGTTTGACATTCCCTGTGGTCCACATAATAAAGAAACCATGAATTATATTTAAAATAGATTTCTAATTTAAATCCAGCAATGTGCATTTAACCATTTTTCTTGTCATGCAATCATTAAGCGATTGATAAATTATTATATGAGCGCATCGTTGTGTCGTATTTACTGTGGTGTCGCGGCACGCTGCTCTCATATAGGCTACACATACATAGAGAATATAATAATGTGTAGAAACATATATTACGCTAGTATGTATTATGCAAAAACGTATTCAGCCTATCAAATGTGCTGGGTGCCTTGCTTGTGGTCTTTCGCGCGAACGAAGATTTTTGACATTACCTTAAGTCGACAGAGGAATCAGTGTCAGAAGAGGTATTTTCTTCGGTATACGTTCACTGTATTTATTACTCTTTTCAAAACATAATTTCCAAGATTCATAGAGGAGCTCTACCGCGACGAAAAAACAAACACTGAGTGATCTCTCTCTCTCTCTCTGTGGCTGTGACTGTGGATCTTTTTGATAGCACTTAAAAATCCACTCCTGTTGAAGTGCAGTTCATATGTTACAGCATTGTGATATTCACGTCTCCCTTCAGACTGAAGTCGTTCAGTTGTATGTTTGTTTACTAAACACAAAATAATAGAGCTGTTCAGTTTGCACTTCTATAAATCAAGAACAAATTGCATGTTTTTGAACCATGCGTTTCCTCGTGAAATTAGAAGGGCTTTGTAAACATTAGTTTGCTCTTTGCCGCTACTGTACAGCAAGGTCCATTCCATTAGAATTGATGACATTTAAATGAAGTCGCAATGAATCAGCATTTGATTACATTTCTGAAAGATATGCTTTTTAGATAATGGCAGCTGCCCTCCTAATGTGATTCAGATGTAATGTGCAACAGTGGAGGTTTCAGCTTTGGTTTGCATCATGTAAAGATAAGTACATACTTGCACTAATGCATGCCCAATCTCTATTGCTTTCACCTATAATGTGATATGATACCAACCATGAAAATAATTTTTTTCCCCCCCCATTAAATATTTTAAATATTTAATAATTAATATTATATATAATTAACTAATAATGATAGGAATAAGTAATTCAGGTTATTAGGTTGATTTCTTGAAGGGACAGTTTTTTAGATATTTGTTTTTATTTTTATTTTGTGTGTGTATCTACTCTTATCTACTCTTATGGTCATAGTTTTTTTCCTCCAGTAGACAAAGAGGAAATTATGGAAGCCCGTTATCTGCAATGGAATAAAAATGCTTTAAAAATTTTGATATTTCATCTCACATTTTGGCCTTTTTTTTTGGTCACAATTCTGAGTTTAGTTCTCACAATTCTTTTTCCTCCTCTTTCCTTTTTCTCCTCTCGTGCAAGTCTTGTGAGTTTTCTGAATTCTAGGTTTACATCTCATAATTCTTTTGTGTACGTGTGTGTTTCTCCCAAATGAAAAAATAAAAAAATGTAATTGCGACGTTTTACCTCACACTTCATACTTTTCTTTTCAAAATTGCGAGTTGATATCTCACAATTCTTCATTTACATCTTGCATTTCTGAGAATTACCTTTTTTATTATTATTTTTATCCCGTGGTGCAAACAAGCTTCCATTGACAATTAAGACAAAAAGCTTATATGTGCTCACTTTTAATATAAGGACAACCAGTACAAACAATATCCTACTATCTACTATCTCTATTTCTTCATCAAAGCACACCATCCACAGCCTCATCACTTCAATCAGATGTATCCCTTTACCCCAATCCCAATAGCAGTAGTTACACAATTTTTATGTGTGATTCAGATGATTACTGTATGTTTGTTTGTTCCAAACCCATTCACCATACACAAGCCCTAATGCTTGAAATTGCCATCATGTTCCACATTTGTCTGTGTTAATGAAACCAGAGCAGCTAATGAAAAAAGAGACAAGATTTCAGAAGATGTGTTTAAAACTGTGTATGTGTGAATGCACTGTGTATATAAAAAACAGTTCATAAAAACGTGGACTGTATATCCCATTTATGACCCTGCTGTGCTTTCAAAATGATTGTGTAAAGCAGAAAACTAAATGATAAAAGTTAGCTGCAGCGTTATAGTCATCAAACATCTGTCTGACAGTATATTACATGCATATCTCAGCTCTTTTATGAGAATGTTCCTCAGTGCTGGAGGAAACAAATGACTGAATGTGTTTGAACACTGAACTAGACATCATAACTGTGAATATTACAGGCCAATCGGAAAACGTGGTAAACCTTTTATTAATCACTGTAACTCGCAACACTAAAAAAAGATGTCATAAAATGCTGATGGGAAGCAATTTAATTGGGTTTTAAAATCACCACAGCCAGTAAAACACTAAGTGAGCATAGCAGTTAAACCACTGGGTCCTGTAGTGTATTGATATTTGGATTTTTTTTTTTTTGCCAGATGGGGGCAGTGCAGGCACTGTTTTGAGAGGATCAGTATATTGTTCTAGTTTTCACCTACAATAACATTAGTTGTTCTAATTTGTTGCAAAGTACGTAAATGTAGGGTTAAAACTGAGACCAACACAACAACATTGACTGCTGTTCCATTTATCTATTTAAAAATAGAGTAAAAACAGTAATATTGAAATCTTAATGGAATATTATTACAATGGGTTTGTATTTTAATATATTTTAAAATGTATTTTGTTTCTATGGTCGTAAAGCTGAATTTTCATTACATTTTCAGCCCTCTAGTCTTCAGTGTCACATGATCCTTCTGAAATCATGCCAATATGCTGATTTACTGCTGGAGAAACATTTTGTTTTTTACTATTATCAGATTTTAAAACAGTTGCGCAGCTTAATATTTTTGTGGACATGGTGATACATTTTATTTCAGGATTCTTTGATGAATAGAAAGGTCAAAAGATGTTACAAATCTTCTGTAACATCGTAAATGTCTTTATTGACACTTTACTGCTAATTTAATGTTTCCTTGCTAAATAAAACGTATATTTATTTATGAATAGCCATGAATACGATTTACTACTTGCTAGTTTGCTGTTGGTATTAGGGGAGAGACATTGTCAATCTAGAAAGCATTTGATTGGACAAACATCTGTGTAGTTCAGGATTTTATATTATATCTGTCAAAGTTTAGAAGTACACTAGCATGTAGATGAGCTCAAAGCAATACACACTTGGAGACACAAGCCACAAAACTCTCATTTTGGTGTGATCGTGGTCTTTAATAGCATAAAAACATTACTCAAGCTCGTATCTGCTACCCACAGACATCCTCTATTGTATTTTATTTCTGTCTTGTTTTATGCTTGTTGTTATCCCTCCAAATATAGCCCCTTCTTTTCAAAGCGCATTCGTTGTGCTCGGTGCAGTGGTGCAGTTGACTTTGAAATGAATAAAAGGAAACTTTTAGCTAAATGAAAGCGAAAAGCATGCCAATTGCATTTTGAAGCTCTCTCTTTTTTTTCATCTGGCCAGAACTGTTACTTTTCTCACAAACACAGTTCCCCACTTTATATGCAGTGAGAGTATAGATGCCCACACTGGATTTTGCTTTGTCAAGGTGACGGGATCCAGTTTTCTGTGTCAGCTAAGATTCCCATCAAGACTAGCGTCTCCTGGCAGAATATACTCCACTCTTCTAATCCCACAATTTTTCGCTCAGTCGAGCCAAGTCCAGTCCACACGACGCTGGGAGCTAAATCCACCTCATCCATCACAGCCAGACCTGATGCAGTCGGCACACACATATAGTGTATATGAGGAGGGACCAAACTAAAGAATCTCACAGCCCTAAAACAGGATCAGGTGTGAACAATCTTTAGGGATGTATGATATATCAGTACCATCGTTATCAGCTAGTTTTGTTAGATACTGAATATTCTTTTTACTCATCTTTTTACATTTAGATGACCTTCACCGTCATCTAGCGCTTGCTTAAAGGAACTGTTTACCCATAAATGATCATTTGCAGAAAATGTACTCAACCTCAGGCCATCCAAGATGCATGTAGATGCATTTGTTTCTTCATTGGAACAGATTTGGATTTGAATTTAGCATTATATCACTTGCTCACCAATGGATCCTCTGCAGTGAATGGGTGCCGTCAGAATGAGAGTCCAAACAGCTGATAAAAACATCACTATAATCCACAAGTAGTACACACAACTCCAGTCCATCAATCAACATCTTGTGAAGTGAAAAGCTGAATGTTCAGAGAAAAAAACAAATCCATCATTAAGGCGTTCCCTCCTGATTCAGATGGGAGGACTTTTTAACTGGAGAAAACAATATTATACGGACTTGTATTTTAGCAACAGTTTGAAGTTAAAATGCCTTAATCATGGATTTGTGTCTTACAAACACACAGCTTGTGGATTTCCATCTTGTGAAGTGAAAAGCTGAATGTTCAGAGAAAAAAACAAATTCATCATTAAGGCGTTCCCTCCTGATTCAGATGGGAGGACTTTTTAACTGGAGAAAACAATATTATACGGACTTGTATTTTAGCAACAGTTTGAAGTTAAAATGCCTTAATCATGGATTTGTGTCTTACAAACACACAGCTTGTGGATTTCTTATATTACTTGTGGATTATTGTGATGTTTTTATCAGCTGTTTGAACCCTCATTCTGATGGCACCCATTCACTGCAGAGGAAACACTGATCAGCCAGTGATGTAATTTTTCCAAATCAGTTCCAAAGAGTCTTGAATGCCC